CGACCCCGAAAACATATATATAAATTTTTCCAGATTTTTTAATAGTCATTCCGCAATTTGACCTTCAGATGCCCTTGACCCTGACGTGATGGGGTTAAACGGACCCCGGATTCGGATTCAGCAACCCCAAAAACATGAAGTGCACCTCCTCAGATATCGGAGAAATTAATTTCAATTTTTTTTGTGGGGCTGTGTAATTCTTAACTTCGGTGTTATTACCACTCTTAAAGATCGGACATACTCTCGACAATTTCCATATTTCAGGAAACGTAGATGATTTTAATATTAAATTGTAAATAATAGAAAGTGGCTGTAGGAGAACTTTTGCACAATCTTTCACAAGAAAAGCCGGTATCTTATCGTGACCCGATGTCATTTTGTCTTTTAAACTATTTATTGCCTCTAATATTTCTTCATCAGTTAAGCTCGTTATATACAAAGGCATTACATCATGGCTACATAATACCCTGGATGGGGTACCACACTCCTTATTGTTGATTTTTCGAGAGAAAGTTATTCTTGATAAAAAGTTTTGCTTATCTTCGGAAGCCAGGAGCAGCAATCAAATATGTAATAAAATATACAGGGCGTCCAAAAAATTTCAAAATGTGAAATATCCTCTAAGCAGTGTCTTTAATTTTTGTTTTAATTAAAAACTGTATTTAACAAAGTTGTTCGAGATCTCAAGAATTGCTTAAATACGGGGTTTAGTAAAAAAAAGATCAATAATCACATTTTGCAAATAAAAAGACGCCGAAATTTTTAACCATCTTACATACCATATAATTACCATGGATATTTCCTTATAAATGTCAGTCAACATATTTATTTTTATTCAGAGACCACCGAATAATTTTTGTTAGCAACGCTAACCCTGGAGCAACGAATTTTTCTTGAGAAATGTTATGTTTCATATCGATATGCAATACACATTTTTAATGAAAAGTGTTCAAATGTAACTGTAACTCGTAGAGCATTTCGCTAGTTAATTATAAAATTCGATACCAATGGTGATGTAATAGCTATTTACATAATAAAGGAGGTAAGTATTATTTACCAGTCGAGGACGATTTTGCGCCCGAGCGGAGCGAGGGCTGGCAATAGAGTCCGAGACTGGTAAATTATACTTAACTGCTGCGTAGTGTGTAACATTTTATCTACTCCCACATTTCTTAATCAATTCATTGTTTGGATTTTGTCGTTTCTAAGGTGTTTATAAACAAAGCTACATAAAAGTTGCAATTTTGCTAGTTTTGAATTATTATTTCTAAATGAGTGATTTTCAAATAACCCTTCTATGATTCCTAATAAGATTGCAGTTTTTGAAACTAGAACATCCTGAAACATATACAGGCCATTCATTCCGAAGAACATCGGCAACGTTACTGGCTAATACAGGAGTTGATGTATTAACAATCAAGGGACATGGTGGGTGGAAATCAGCCACATTTACAGAAAGTTATGTTGCTGATGGTTTAATAAAAATGAAATAGCCAACAGGATTCTTTACAATGACACTTCAACTCGAGGTTTGAGTAGTGCGACGCGTCATTCTGTTTTAATGAATCAGTCAGATAATGTTTAGCGTCCGGTGACTGAAATGGAGCAGTCAAACCATTTTGGGAAAAATGTGACAATTAGTAAACACGAGAGGAATAATTATCCAGATTTTATAAATGTTATAACTGTACAATTATTACAATAAATATATTCATTCATAATAACACAGCCATACAAAAAAAAGTAGTCTGTACTTTTCATGCGACATATGTTATCCGTAGTTTTTTTGCCTCCTGATCACGAATCCGGTGTCAGAATTGAGCTATCACATCACAGGGATTTCCTAACCTCAAAGACCAGGTGAAAAAAAGAAAAAATTCGCGAAAAAGTGCTAGGAAAAGTACAATTTTTTTTATATATTCAATTGTTCATTTATATGGTTAAGACCCCGCCGAACGTGAATCCGAGGTCAGAATTGATAGTTCGTTTTCTAACCTAAAAAAACGGGTCACATATCACGAATCTTCAAAAAATAACAGATTCTCTCTCGGGGGGAAAAAAAAGTCGTCGGGATCAAAAATATATAACATGAAAATTCAATGAGTAACCTCGACCAAGAAATAATAAAAAAAGCTCCAACATCCGAGAAAGCATAAATTGAAAATGGCGACTTTTGCTTATTTTTTTACTTTAAATCGCTCGTAGCTCGAAAACTAAGCTTCTTTCGAAAAAATCACAAGAGTTAAAAAGTGCTTATTTTTGCCCAAAATACATGTGTTTTCATATTGATTTTTTAAGTTTTCGCAATTTAGCAAGTTTTTTTGTTAATTACAAATTGCTGACCATCGATACAGAAATATGTCATTAAGGCTTTTTGTTCGCAACAACGTAATATAGCGATTAGAAAAGGTTTCATCCTGGGCCCCCTCCGTGGTCGGTCCACTCGTTTTTTTGTGCGTCTTTTTAGGGGTGCACCGCTCGCCTATAAATCCTGACCAATCTGCGAATATGAGGGTTGCTAAAAACTAGTTGATTATTTTAATAACTTCAAACTGTGTTGTCTGCTTTCTATTTTTTATTATTTTTTTAGAGAGTGTATTCCAACCGTCTGAAAGGCATACACGCAATCAACTACCCTCCCTTTATAGACATTCTGCTGGCTATCTGCAAAACCGCTTTCAAGCCTAAGCTTTTCGCTAGGGTAAGTAAAAATAGCACAGACCGATAAGATTTTAATCCAACAAAACGAATATAATTTCCCAAAGGATTTTGGTGCGCTGAATTCGAATCCGGTACCCAAATTACTCAGTTGGCTCTGATTTTCGAGATCTCCTAACCTAAAAGTGCCAAAATCGCGATTATTTGACATATTTGAGGTTATGTTACATGGAAAGGTAATTTTTTTGCTGAAACCATTAATGGGATCTATGTACTATAATGACTCTTTAAAACGCACTTGGATTTACCCCGATTTCATCATTTTTCGTCTCTGAGAAATCGCAAAATTTATATGAAGTCAAGGAACTTTTTAAAAATACAAAATTTTACCAAAGTAAATTATCTGAAACCGTTTATATTCATCCAAGGAAGCTGCCCTTGTAGTAGGGCCCATTGCGTTCTGAACACCCTGTATAACGTTTTATATAAAATTCCACTATTTTACTGCTGCATCCATGTTTTAGATTCATCTCCACAATAGTCTCGAGGAACTATATGAACACGTACCCAGGGAAATTTTACCCGTAGACTATGGTGGTGAAGAGCTTTCGGTGCAAGAACTGAACGGTATTTATTTCTTGTTCTTCTTCTTTCAAGAATCATGAAAGTTAAACCTTCTTCTTTTACTACCTACTATTTTTACACACTTTTGAAAGTACTAGAATTTAGATAATTATTTTAGAAGTTGTAGTATTTTTCAAATATCTCAATATGAATGAAATTAGAAACATCTCTGGTGACAAAAGGATAAAAAAAAAGTAAATTGTTAGGTGATAGTCCTAGAGCTATAGTAAAAAAGCAAATTGGAGCTTGAAGTTTCTAGTTTCAAGATATAACAGTTAAAAATTTTTATCTTTTACTACCTTTATGAGAAATCCATCCGAAAAAAAAATTTTTAATTTTTTATTCCCTCTCAAAAGGTCTATTTTTTTATCCTTCAATTCTTGTGACTGGTTTAATAACAAATTTCAATTTTCTTTTTTTTTTAGAATTGTGGAAAAAATGTTTAAGAGAGAACTCCGAGAGATTCGACAAACTGGCAAAAATGAAAGTTAACGAAGAACTTCGACCAGCTCCCTTGGACAACGACGACATATTAGGATATCACGGGAATTTCAAAAAATTGGATGTTGACTAAAGTGTGATCTAAATAAATGAATTTTTTTGTTTTAAACAATTTATATATGAGCAATTGTTATACTTGAAATGTGGTTCTTACATCCAGTATAATTATGTAATCATTATATAATGATAACATTTGCAGAAAATAAAAAATATATTAACAAAAATATTGCTTTTTTTCTATTGCCACGAATAAAGTACTAATATTATAGTCCAATTAAATGGGATTTTAAATCGCAATTTTGGTCAACTTGCCTGAATTTCTGATATAAGTTAGTTTGAGGACTTATATAATAACAATCAGTGACAGTAATATTTTTTAACCTCCGGCCAGGGGTGAAAAAGGATAATTTAAAGGGGTTTTTCAAGATTACTCAAAAGGGGTAAGAGCTAGGAAAAAAAGTTTCGTGTAAAAGCTGTAGACCATCAAATTCTACATAAAAACGGTAAATTGATTTTTTCTTGTACTATTAAAATTAACAGAGTTAGGGCGACTACATGTTAAGGGATGATTTCAGAAATTAAAAAAATCACAACAAGCAGAAAAATTAATGAATTTTATAATTTTTTTTGTTTAATATTCTCAGGTGGATAAATCGCAATTAATACACGAATGCAATACGTTTTATCCAAAATCACATCACAATCATATTTGTGGAATTTAATAAAAAAAATATTCACACGACTTGATATTTCTTACTAGTACTTATAACGTTTTTTTATACCTACTGGTTGCTATGGTACCTACGTTGTTTATTATCAATTATTTAATAAACAGTTCTATCTGAGTTTTGTAAAAATGCAAGAAAGTAATTGTGTTCCTGTGGCTGTTTTTGAAGATGCTCAAGAAACAATTTTCCATTTATTGCCAGCGAAATTTAGGGAATATTACGAAAAAGTGTTCGCCGAATTTAACGAATGGAGGAAAAAACGGAGAGTAATGACAATAAATGAAGAAGCCATGCTATCGTATTTTTTAAATTTGAAGAAAAAATATGTAATTTCATCTATGTGGTCGAAGAATTCGATGTTGAAGGCTACTATAAAGGTCTACAGAAATATAGATATTGGAAAGTATAACAGCTTACCGCTTATTTGAAGAGTGAATCGAGAGGATACAAAGCAAAAAAAGCTGCAGTATTGGAAAGAGCACATATTGAAGAATTTTTGACTGGGGCTTCCGATAAAGAATATTTAATGATTAAGGTAATATCTCTTTACCTTTTACCCTGTTGTTAGGTATACAGGGTGTTAAAAAAAGAGTGTAAAATATTTCAGGAGGTAATAGTATGAACCAAAATAAGCAGAAAAGTCTTAATAAACATGGGTCCGCAAAGTAACGGTTGCGGAGATATGGACCATTATTCGTTTTTCAGACATTTTATTTGATTAGGAATAAACCGACAAAGGAAGCTTTCAACAAACAAAAAACAAAGTTACAGAAGATGTTCAAAGTGCCCTCCGTCCATTTCCAAGCAGGCACGACATCTTCATCTCAACGATATTCGAACTCTTTCGAAAACACCCTCCTTGGTTTGGATTTCTTGACACTATTGATTAATCCGTAGCTGCAACTCTTCCAGGCTATTTACAGGAGTACCATACACTAATGTCTTTAAATATCCCCAAACAAAGAAATCTAGAGGGTTCAGTTCAGGCGATCTTGGAGGCCATAAAAAAAGGTCCGGCCCTTCCTACCCATCTATGTGGAAAAGTTTAGTGTAAATGCTCTCTAACGGCCATGGAAAAATGAGCTGGAGCACCATCATGCTGGAACCACATTTGTTGCCTCTAATTCAAAGGAATGTCTTCCAAAAACACATACAGTGTGTTCTGCAGAAAGTTGAGGTAAGCAGCGCCTGTTAATCGGTTTGGTAAAACAACAGGACCTAGAAACCTGTCACCTACAATTAGGCTTGCCAGATATCCGGGTTTGACCCGGAGTGTTCGGGTTTTGATGGTACATCTTCGGGCTCCGGGTTAACATGTCATTTCTCCGGGTTAACTCCCTACCCACCCTCGAAATCCATTTCCTCCAGTCATATTCCTTTTTTTTTATTATTAGACATCGATTTGTCTAATTGCAGAACTTTTTTTTAGCCATGAATTTCTCCGGGTCAGTCATGAAATAAATCTGGCAACCCTACCTACAATACCCATCCAAATGTTTAATAAAAAACGTGCCTGATGCCCAGATTCTATTAGAGCATGAGGATTTTCGTCGGGCCAAATATGCGTATTGTGAAAATGAAACACTCCATTTCTTGTGAACCCGGCCTCATCAGTAAAAAGAATGTTTGCAAGAAAACGAGGGTCTTCAGCATCATAACGTAGAAACCAGCGGCAAAAAACCAAACGTGCTTGATGATCATTTATTGGATTTAAGGCCTGTACTCGTTGCACATGGTATGGATAAAGCAGTTGCTCGTGAAGGAAATATTTATTTTGAATAATCAATCGAATGGCATAGAAAAAAATTGTTTTAGTGTTAAATCATAAAAATTGACTATTAAAAAATTGATATTGTTATAACTTTTTTATTAAAAGTTAAAAAATGTATCTATTTCTCTGAAAGGAGAGTTACATTTCTTAGAATAAATTGAAACAAAAAGATAAAATTCATTAATTTTTCTGCTGTTACGTTTTTTTTTAATTTCTGAAATCATCCCCTTACTTCTAACCACCCTAATAGTACAAGAAAAAGTCAGTAGACCATTTTTATGTAGAAGTGCCAACATATTGCACTGCTGCAGCATTTTGTCAACATTCACCGTATATCAATTCACCAATTTGTGATCTTGAGTCACTGTAATAAAACACTAACCACAAATGAAAATAATACACTATTACACCAATTTTGTTACACTACAAACCATTTACAACCAAATAAATAGAAATTTAATAAACTCTTTAAAAACACGGGAAAATATAAAGCTCTTACAACATAACCAATTTGCTGATCAGCTTTCTAGTGATTGAACTGTTTGTCAGTAGATGTCTCTCACTTCGCATGCATAACAAATAAGAAATAGTGAAACTTTACAAAATTATGTGGCTATGAGTAATTTGTATGTAATAACATGATATTGTAATCGTAATGAGTGTGTTTTGTTTTATTATCTCTTACAGCAAATATTTTTCAAGGCTGATATGCACACGCAAGTTTTGTTTAATTAACTACAAATTAATGATAGCCGCAATATTGATTAGTGAATCCCGACTAATGTCCTTTAACATTCAGTGTTTGATGTATTTGTGTTTTTACTTTAAATTCAACGTGACAATGTCAAACAGTTTCATATATTTCGTGTATGTTCATTTGTTTCTAAATTACTAAAAGTGTAAATGAGAATTCCCAGTAAATGTGGACCCGAATATGTTTTATTTTCGATATACAGGGCGTTAAAAACATATTTGGTAAGGATATTGTATTTATTTCCGATAAATATTAAATTTTTACCAAGGAACACCCTGTGTGTTTAAGAAACATGTATAGTGCTTATTAAACAAGAAAATTATTTTACCGAACATGACTTTTCATTTTAAATTCTGGAAATAAATACTATTTGTTAGGAAGTAATAAAAGAAATTGTAAAGGTCACGAGATGACAAACATGTTTATTTATTATTAGTTTCTCTATCTCAGAAGAATAATAATCTCAATACAAACTGTAAACAGAATACTGAATAGTAGAATAAGTGAAATACAAGCGGTAAGTAATAACAATTCATCTAATAATAGGTATTAGCATAAATACAAATAGCCATTTTTTTCTCTACTTCCATTTATTACAAGTCATTCCCAAGACACAGCAAGTTAAAGACTATTATTATATTACACTTGTAATTTATTGTTATTCAATTATTTTGGATTAAAACTGGTATTTTGGACGGAAATGCCCTTAAAATAATACTTAAAACTGTGCTAATTGCTGACATTGTAAATGAACAGTTTATGTCTACGATATACATCAGCAACGTGTCTTACAACTCATTGTAGTTTATACAGACCTACACAATAAAACTCATTTAACAGACGACTGATCACTGTGAACCACGTCTAGTAAGCAACTGAAATAATAACCACTAATTCTTCTAGTATTATTTTTTCACTGATTTGTTTTATTTTGACAATTAGAAAAGTTGCGATAGTTCCTTTCCTCATTTTTATTGCATTATTATTATATAGTTACTCCTTCTAAAACATGATACCAAAAGATCTTCTGGTGACCAATAGGAAGGCAGTTATAGCAACATTTGGTAAAACAGAGAGAGATGTTACCACGGACATAGGTATAATCAAAAATTGGTTCAGATCACAACAACATCTACCCGAAAGTCCAAGTAAGTACGTACAGTCCAAAAAGTAAGATGAATTACTTGAAATTCGCTTGTATTATGAAGGCATACAATTATTTTTTGTAGGTTGGTAATACTGTCCTTGTTATCTGTACCGAGTTTCAGGTCAATATATTCAATTGCTGCAGAGCTAATCGTGAGTTTATCGATTTTCACTATGTCTGATTTTGTTAAGCAAAGAATTCGCATTAAACTTTGTTTGCGGAATGAATATTTTGCCGCGGAAACGTTGAGTATGTTACAGAAGGCCTTTAGTGATTAGGTTATGTCGCAAGAACATGTTTACAAGTGGTTAAAAGACTTTAAAGAAGGCAGAGATAGTGTTAATGGCGAACAGCGTTCCGGGCGATCATCAATGTCAACTGATGAACAACACGTTAATCAAATCGAAGATCTTGTGCTCGAAAACCGTTGGTTAACAATAAGAGGCCTTGTTGATACTGCTGACATTTCAAACCGTTTGGTAAATACCATTTTAAAAGATTTTTGTTTGGCTCCAAAAACGTTCAACTTTTTGGAACAGCGTCACGTTGACATCTACGAAACAATGATTTCTGATTACCAAGAGGTCAGAAAACGCATCGTTACTGGGAAGGAGACTTGCATCTACGCTTACGACCCGGAAACAGCTGATCAATCGGGTATATCGTGCAAAAGGTGAACCGAGACCGAAAAACCACGCCAGTCAGTCAAAAATCAGGGTCATGTCGACAAGTTTTCTTTGATTATAGTGGTGTAATGCACTATGAATTTCTTCCAACCGGCCAACTGTTAACAAGGAATATTATTTGAGTGTTATGCGTCGTTTGCCGTAAAAGGCTGAAATTGTGGACAGACAATTCTTGGTTTTTGCATCATGATAATGCACACAGCACTGGCAATTCTAGACTATTTCGTCAAAATTCAACTCATATCGTTCCGCAACCACCGTCTTCGCCTGATTTAGCACCAAGTGACTTCTGGCTATTCCTTAAACCCAAAAGACTACTCAGTAGACACCGTTTCGGTTTTAAACAAATTCACCTTATTTTTTGACAACGGTTTGTTAAAATAATATAAGTACTAGTATATGAATAAACGTTTGAGTTTGGAATTTTCAAAATATTTTTCTATCCTTATAAGTACCTACTGAACAAGATCGAGAATAATAGTTACTTTAGGTGCATAATCCTTAGAACTTCTTCAACCATCTGAACCAGTTAATCTCTCTGATATATGAAGAGGGTGCCATTAGGGTACCGTTAACCTACCAGTAACCATAATTTAAACAAAACTCTGTTGGAAATTAGTTCTTCGAACCACTTGCAAATTTCCATATGTGGCTATTATGGAGGCTAAAACTAACATTTAGTGAAATTTTGATGTCTATTTGTCTTCCTCAAGATCTACAAAAATTAAACCAAAAGACCTTTAATTCGAAATAGGTACTGAAGATATTTTTATCGACATCTATTTTTTTTTAGGTGACGCAGTGATCGAAATGTTTTTGGTAACGAACAAGTTCAGCATCGAAAGAACGAAGCAGAAATTGGACATGTATTACACTATTAGAACCCTTATTCCAGAGATCTACTCAAACATCAACCCTCGTTTACCTCGCATGCAACAAGTGTATGAAATGGGGTAAGTAGGAAAGACTGAAATCATGACTAATTTTTCAATTTCTTTGTTTCTTCTTTGCACTTCCCAATGAAAGATATACACGTGAGTGGAACCGTAGGTACATCTAATATTAGCGGAGATATTTCAGTGGCAAAAATTTCGCTGCATTCTACCACCTTGAGGTATACAATTTAAAAGTTTGAACAAATACTACCACGAGAACAAAACAAGGTAATTTAAGTGATCGTAATTTATTCTAGTTATTGCATTCCTCTTCCAAAGCTAACTGAAGGGCTGTGCAGGGTGAATGTCATGAAGCTGATGTCGACGGTAGAAAAGTTTGATACGTACATATTCTTCTCGCATCAGATAAACGTCCTCGAGGTTAGGACTCAGGAGGATTTGGCACTTGGGGATGTTGTCATAGCAGATCTGGAGCACCTCAAAATGGGGCACTTGGCAAAGGTGTCGCCCATGCATCTGAAGAAGGCCACCACTATTCTTGAGGTGATTTTGATCTTCATTTGTCTTCTTTTTTTATACATATGTTTTAAAATTTTTTCTATCACGCGAGCTCGCTATGGGACCTATAGTGTAGGGGGTTAGGTGCACTGGAAAGTGCTAGATAGTACAACAGCGTGATGTTATTTTCATAGCGCAACGCTCCGCACCTAACCCCCTACACTATAGGTCCCATAACGACTCGCACTTGTGATAGAAAATAGTATGTGCAACTCGTTCGGAAAAGTTGCCATAGCGCCACTTGGTCGCTTTCCGCACTCGCTTCGCTCGTGCGTCAACTGCGTCCTCGTGGCGCTATTGGCAACTTTTCCCCACTCGTTACACAATGTACTATAAAATCACCTGAAAATGTATCATAATTAGAGAAACTAATACGTTTTCATATATGTACTAAATTTATCGCCATTCATAAAAATTATTCCTCTGAAGCTTCATGTAAAATATTTCGTTTTCTTTTTTGTCATCAAAATATTGTTTTCTAATTAGCGCCCGCAAAGAAATCGTTCTTAAAAAAACTCATGTCAATGTATGTTAAAAATCTTATAGAACTGATGCAGACAGCTTTTTTCTTTTAGAAAGTTTTCTCTAACCGCATAAAACGAATTCACATAATCAACTACCCCGGCTATATCGATGTGCTGATTAACATATGCAAGGCTGTTATGAAACCGAAAATTTTCGACAGGGTAAGCAACGTAACAAAATATTAAGTATTTTTGAGTTCTTGAATCATAAGCTCTTGTTTCGATAATTGTTTTATTTTGCTTTTAGATCAAACTACATTCCACATATGAAGGACTCTACGACTATATTCCACGAAAGTTGTTGCCCGAAGACTATGGAGGAGAACAACTATCTTTAGAGGAATTAAATGGTTAGTAGTTGGTACCCGGAGTTATAAAAATTTGAATTTACGTACATATTTAATAGTACAATATCAAAAGTAGAAGAAAATAATTGAAATTGCATTTTCAGTATTCAATGTTTTTAAACTTCGGATGGATTAAAAATTTTGTTTCGCCACACATTGCTGAAAAGTTTAATATAATTTTGATGGGAACTACATGTTTTATTTTCTTTCACACTTATTTTTCATTGTCATAAAGTTTTATCACTCCGTGTCTCCATAAGTCAAAGTTATGGACAACAATTTTTTTCTATTTGTACTACTTCGCACATAAATTATTATAAATTGCTTTATGTGCGATTGAAAAAAAAATCTATTGCGTAAAATAAATGACTATCACACTTTGCTCTAACAAGTAAAGTAATTCATTTAATATAATAGTTCATTTTCGTATTAGTACCTAAAATAGTAAATTTCATCACTAGTGTATATCATATTAAATGTTCACATTAGTGCGTTAATAACTTAATTTACGCACTAGTGTATAAAATAGTTAATTGCGTAAGAGTATCTAAAATCGTTACTTTGCACAACAATGTATACATCAATTTATTTTCGCAGAAGAGTAAAAAGTAAATTCTTGCACCGGTGCATAAAATAAGATAATTAGTTTACGCAGTAGTGCATAATTTTTGCATTGTTGCGTGAAATATTTCATTCGTGCGTTAGTACGTAAAGTACTTCATTTACGCACCGGTGCACACAATATTTAATATTCGCGATAGTGAGTAGGATATTTAGTTTACGCACTAGTATGTAAAATAGTTAATTTTCGTATTAGTCTCTAAAATAGTCAATTTCAATAAATATAAAATGTCCAAATTAGTGCATAAAAAACTTAATTTTTGCACTAGTGCGTAAAATTGTTCATACAGCATCTAACTTTCGCGAAAATGCGTAAAATATTCCATTTTCACACTAGTGTGTGAAATAGTTAATTTTCGTAAGCATACCGAAAATCATTAATTTGTACACCAGTGTATGCAATATTTAAGTTTAGCATTAGCGAATTAAATAGTTAATTTTTGCACTAGTGCGTAAAACAGTTAATTTACGCACTAGTGTACAGAATATTTAGTTTTCGCTCTAGTGCGTAACATACCTAGTTGATTATAACACTTTGCTCTAACGCGCAAAGTAGTTCATTTACGCACCGATGAACACATTTAAAATTTGGGATAGGACGTAGGACATTTTATTTTCGTATTAGTATGTAAAATAGTTAATTTTCGTATTTTGTACCTAAAATAGTTAATTTAGTCACTAGTGTGGACAATTTTAAATGTTCTCATCAGTGCACAAAAAAAACTTGATTTCTGCACTAGTGCCTAAAATAGTTAATTTACGCACTAATATATAAAATATTACTAATGCATAAAATGTTAAAATTCGGCAACGGTGCGTGAAATATTTTATTGGCGTTAAGGAGCTCATATGCGCGCCATTTTAATTCGCGATAATTGCGTAAATTCGGAATAGTGCGTAGAATATTTAACTTTTGCTCTAGTATGTAAAATAGTGAATTTTCCTATTAGTATCTAAATAGTTAATTTACTCGCTAGTATATACAATATTAAATGTACACATAAGTGCGTAAAAAACTAAGTTTTTGCACTAGTGCGTAAAATAGTTAATTTACGCACTAGTGTATAAAATATTAATTCATAAATTATTCAATTTTCGCATCGGTGCGTAAAATATTTTATTTGCGTACTTGTGCGTAAAATAGTTCATATGCGCGCTAGTGCGTAGAATATTTAACTTGCTTTAGGATGTAAAATAGTTAATTTTCGTACTAGTATCTAAATAGTAAATTTATTCGCTAGTGTAAACAATATTAAATGTCCGCATAAGTGAGTAAAAAACTCATTTTTTGCACTAGTGCGTAAAATAGTTAATTTACGCACTAGTATATAAAATATGAATGTTGGCACTAATGCATAAAATGTTAAATTTTCGCATCGATGCGTGAAATATTTTATTTGCGTACTAGTGCGTAAAATACTTCATATGCGCGCTACTGCATACAATATTTAATTTTCGCGATGACTGTGTAAGTTCGGGATAGTGCGTAGAGTATTTGGGCGCTAATGTATACACCATCTAATTTTCGCGATAGTGCGTAAATTTTCGCGATAATGCATCAAATATTTAATTTTCAAACTAATGTTTAAAATAGTTAATTTTCGTAAGAATACCGAAAATTGTTAACTTACAATACAATATTTAATTTACGCACTAGTGCACAGAATATTTAATTTTCGATCTAGGGCGTAAAATAGTTGATTATCACACTTTGCTCTAACGCGTAAATTAGTTCATTTACGCACCGGTATATTTAAAGTTTGGAATAGTGTGTAGGACATTTTATTTTCGCACTAGTACGTAAAATAGTTAATTTTTCGTATTAATAACTAATATAGTAGATTTAGTCTAGTCTAGACAATATTAAATGTCCACATTAGGGCGTAAAATACTTAATTTTTGCACTTGTGCATAAAATAGTTAATTTATGCACGAATGTATAAAATATTAATATTGGCACTAATGCATATATAAAATGTTTAATTTTGGCACCGATGCGTGAAATATTGCGCGTTAGTACATACAACATTTAATTTTCGCAATAATTGCGTAAATTCGAGATAGTGCGTAGAGTATTTAACTTTTGCACTATTATGTAAAATAGTTAATTTTCGTATTGGTATCTAAATAGTAAATTTACCCGCTAGTGTATATACAATATTAATTTTCCACATAAGTGCGTAACAAAAACTTATTTTTTGCACGAGTGCGTAAAATAGTTAATTTACGCACTAGTGTGTAAAATATTAATTTTGGCACTAATACATAAAATAACGTAGTTAATTACACGCCAATGCAAACAATATAACTTTCGCATTAGAGTTTAAAAAAGTTAATTTTTACACTAGTGCGTAAAATAGCTAATTTACGCACTAGTGTCTACATATTTTAATGAGTGCTTGAAATTGGAATTTTATGAATGGTGATAGAAAAATTACATCGCCTTTAAGCATCTAATAAATTACATAATTATATTATTTCTTCTAGAATTGTGGAAGGCAAAGTTGGTACAATATTCCGAAAGATTCGACAAATTGGACAAAATGAGAGTCAACGAAAACCTGCGCCCAGCGCCATTGCAAAACCATGAGGTGTTGGGATATCACGGAAATTTTAAACAGTTGGATGTAGACTGAGTTATTTTCAAGAACGTAATATACAAAAATACAACACCAATTCATTAAATAAATGTACACAATTGAAACGCGTCTTCATTTACTTAGATTCCTATTAAGTTTGCTGTAAATATACAGGATGTCCCAACAATATGCTTAATCATATTATTATATTACATCGTTGAATTCAATTTAGGAAAAAATCATGTACATAGTTAAGTATTTACGAAAAACAGCAGATGAATTAGTTTTGGGTTTTAAATACCAACTTAGTTAGTAGTGTTTCACTTTGTGCACTAGTAACTAAAATGAAATAAAATAGTTAATTTTCTACTGTACAGCGCATGTAAAAATAGTACACGGTAACAGAAGAACGTAATTTAAATAGTATATTCAACAAACAACCGTTTAAAAAATTGTATACTTAACTGAAATGAACTTATGTTGCGAAACGATTGCTTAAAACAAGGTAGTATAGATTTTTACGACTTCCACCCTTCGCAGCTAGTCGTCGAAATTTTTATATGCATAGTAATTCGAGTGCATCGATAAACAGCGACACCTGTGGAATGGCACAAACAACAGCACTCTTCGATCCAAAGCGTACTGCGACAGAGCATTTTCAGAATTTGCTGATGGCGCTGTCGACATGGACAAATCACATGTCTTCTTAAGTAAATTGCTTCCAATGTCCCAACATTTAGGCCTGAATCAAGAATGTATTTATATAGAATGTTAAAAATAATATAAAAAAATTAAAAAATACGAGAGAAAAATCAATCAGAAAATCAATTTAAATTGCGTGAAGATTGTTATTTACCCTCACAAAACTACGAAATATGCTTGTACACGTTGCATATGCTAGAGATGCGGTAGCTGTTCCTAAAGGGTCTTCCAAACAAGAACATAACAGCTAAATGAGCCGTTCTCCACCAAATGCTAGTTCCATAATTCTCCCATTTTCCCCAAAATTTGCTCTTCTGCATCGGTTAGGGAAGCAGGTCTAGGTCTTCCAGAGTCAATAGGGGTTTTACCTAATTTTACACTGACTACTAATGAATCTGGTGAATATTGGAAGCAGAAGGAACTGAAGGATTAGGATAAGTTTCCGCATAGAGATGACGAACACCGTGTCCATTAGTCCATTGAAGAGAATATATTTAAAAAATCAAAAAGTCAAGTCTTGGTTGTCAACATCGGTCGTCATGGATAGTTGATGAGTCTGACAGAAAATTTTCGACTAAATACCGAAGCTGAATCTTTGCTGGTAGATGCAGGTGTGTCGAAATAATGATGTTCAAAAGCATATAGAAGAAATAATCGACATTCTACTGGTTAATGTCTCACTCACAAGAAAACTGTATCGAAAATACATAGATGTATCGTCTAACCTGTTGGCCTTGACACATTTGGAAAGTATCTACATATATTACCAGATTCCTGAAACTAGAAAATCCAGAAACATATTCATATCATTAATTTCGCAGATCATCAGCTACCTCCTTAGCACATTGTGACATAATTAATTTTGGAGCATGGAATAGCTATAAAGTAGCTGAAAGATATGATAGAAGAGATTCTCTTCAACAGAAAATCAGAATTGGGAAGAAAGTTTTGAATAACACTTCTGACGCCACCTCTGCTGAAAACCTACCTGCAAAATTCGTACAAAATTAGCAGTTCTTCAAAATGTACATGTATATTTAAAATTTAGTGTTAATGTAGGAATTATTCAAGACAAATGTAGCGTATTATAATAAAAATTATGTTTTCTTGAAATAAAATTGTAGGTCACAGAATAGCGTATTTGGGAAGTATAACAATAGATGGAGATGTTGTAAAGATAGAATGATGAGGACCATAATAAGTCCCAAACCAACCTGTCTGGTTGGTTAAACTTACGAACGACCCTAGCTGTTGTACTAGGTGTTGTGAGTTTGAAACAAAATATTTTTTATTACTGAGAAATATTTATATCCAAATATATTCTTAAAATAAGTATATACAATTATTTGACCAAAGCTACTCAATTTTGTATCAAACAAACGATACATTAATATACAATACAAAACACGTTTCTATAAAATCTATGTAGATCATAAAATTATGAATAGTGTTCGTTTAACCGTAAGTATCAAATAGTTATTTAGAGAAATAAAGAAAATGTTGTGCATGTGAAGCAAGAATTTTTTTACGTGTAATACTGCAATTTCGTTAGAGAGCCCTTCTACGTCGACGTCAGCGTCATCAGGTGATCGATGATAGTATTGCAGTTAAACTGAATACATCCGCAATTACTTCTCACAATTGGGGAATTAACATAAGTAACTGTTTGGATTGTAATATTAATATTAATGTTTCTAAACAAATAATTTATAACTGTATGAATAAATATATATTAATGTTTCTAAATAGAATTGAATAGAAACTTTATTGACACTGTCATATACAAAACTGTACATTTTTTGTCACAACTATTACACTAAAAGAAGACCTTAAAATTAAACAGTAACGAAAGAAATAAAATCATCAGGACTATAAAAACATTGCTCTAATAAAAATTTTTTAATGAACTTGTGGAAACTTCTCTGAGACATCGTCCTAAATTTAAAATTTTTAAAATGATTACTTAATCTATTATAAAGCTCAATCTGGACCTTGTTTCTCTTAGTAGTATTAATTCTAGAAAAGGGTTCCACAAGATTTAGTGCCTGTCTAGTATTGTGTTCGTGAATGGATGAGTGAGTGGCCAGATTTTGGAGATTTTTGTGCACATGCAGCAAAGTTTCAAGAATAAACAGGCTTGGAAGAGGCATGATCTTTAAACTCTTAAAAAGATCCTTACACGAAGCCCGGTGGTGGGCTGCAGCTACAAGGCGAACCGCCGCCTTCTGCAGAGTAAATGCCTTCCGCGCAGTAACGGAGTTACCCCATAACAGGACTCCATAGTTAAGGTGACTATGAATAAGAGAAAAATACAAAATTTTCATAACTGCATCACTCAGCGAAGGCCTCAGCTGCCTCATAACGAAAATCTGCGATGCAAGCTTGGAACAGAGAGAGTCGATATGAGGTGCCCAGGATAAACCGGGATCTAAAGTAATACCCAGTAATCTCACATTATTAGTCCTATCAGCTAATCTATCAGCTGTAAAATGTAAATGTTGGGTTTTAGTAAAATTCAGTTTAAGTTTATTTGAAGAAAACCAGGATTTAGCCTTTGATAGACACTCTCTACTATTATCCACACCGCCACGTGTCAAAAGGGTCGTGTCGTCGGCAAAAATAATGCACTTGCAGTCACGTATGTTGATTGGCAAGTCATTTATGTAAATTAAGAAAAATAATGGCCCCAACACCGATCCCTGCGGCACACCATTCGCAATGGGCAATATAGCGGAATTACAGTTATTTATATTGACAAATTGCCGCCTATTTGACAAGTAAGATCTAAAAAGTTTCAATGCTAAACCTCGGACACCATAATAGTCGAGTTTGTTCAGAAGTACATCGACATTGACGCAGTCAAAGGCTTTGGTCAAGTCACAAAACGTGGCGTTCGTTGTTTGACCACGGTCAAGGCCATCAACTACATCCTCAACAACAGTTAGTAAAGCTCTAATAGTTGAAGAATTCTTCCTAAAACCAAATTGAGACGGTGTCAAGATAAGGTGTTTTTCAAAAAAGGAGACAAGTCTATCTCTCAAAATCTTTTCTAAAATTTTACTGAAATAGGGAACAATAGCTATAGGACGGTAATTGTCTAATAAATCCGTATTCCCTTTTTTGTGTATAGGAAGAATCTTCGCTATTTTAAAGGAATCTGGCCACACACCCACTTCCAAGATTCCATTAAACAACAAGGCTAATGGCCCAGCAAGGATCCTGACTGATTCCTTAACCATTTGGCTATTAAAGCCGTAATAGTCACAGCACATTGAATTTTTAAGTGCCAGGATAGCTTGTCTCACATCTGATTCAACAACAGGAGACATGAAAAATGAGGAAAATTTTTTAGGANGCCATTTAAATATTTTGGGGTGATGCTTACCCTTGCTTGGGGGTGAAAGTGGCGGAGTCAAAAATACCAGCAAAGAATGTCCCCCTTTAATCTAAAATCGACGGGTCTGAGCGTTTTTCTACAATCTTGACGCAGTTCCTGAAAATGGCTCTGTTTCGTTTTCATTTGGCCACCCTGTATAGTATTCGAATATAGTATTTTATTTTTAACACTAGTGTTAAAAGTGATTTTGACACGAAACATTATAAAAGTCAATTTTTAGTTCACTTATCAATGAATCAAAAATGTCATTTTTTAAGAGTTTTACAAAAATGGTTTGTACGTTTTTTGTCAAGGTACAGTTGATATTTGTATTTGCATGTGTATAAATTTTTACACCTTTAATTTGAGCAGATTTAAACATTATTAAAAACAAATTCTGTTCAAAGAGACGTTATATGAACTACCCCCTCTATTTTTCCTGCAGAAGCTCACCGTTTAGTTTTTTTTTAAGTATGAACTGTACACCCTGTATTTACGCCAATTTTTCGCGCTGTGTAAAGGAAAAATGATGAAAAAAAAAATTGGAACCGACCCCATCCCAATCCCGGCCCGCCCGACCCCTCCCCCGCGCCACCGCTGTCCCAACAATGACCAGCGCCAACTAGGTCGTCCTTCTGCGAAGGACCGGTGAATGACACAACGCGGGCGTCGCGCGCGTCGCGCGCTCGGCGCCGACGCCGCCGAGCCCGTCCCGGCGGACGCACACGCCGCTAGTACAGTCGAGTCACCTCTGGAGCCATGGATCCGACCGGCGACTGTTTCTCGCTAACCTCACCCACAACACACCAGCCGCTGTGATACGCGCTCCGCAAAAAAAACAAGTGACAGTGACCGCCTGCAACCGCCGCCGCCGCGACCCACTCAGCCGCATTCTGCCTTACACATTGCCTTATTTTTTTATTTCGACGTTGGGGGGGTTGTTTTTTATACGCTTTAGCACGCTATTTACATGTACGCCCGTATCGATTCGCCTCGCTGCCGGCCTACTAGATAAGTTCTCCGAATCCGATCGGGAAAAGTCCGCATCCATCCAGGTTTCGTCAGCAACGCGTCTTGTGATAGCCGGTTCAGTTCTGGTGAATCTGGTGGTGGCCACGCCGACCACGGGGATGGCCTGGGGGTTCTGCGCTTGACGGTTGGCCGAGCTTCTCGCGAAAATCTGCTGATATGCCAGTGAGGAGGGGGCTGGTGGCGCCTAGGACTACTCTGATTGAAACCATTATAAGGAAATTCGACACTGACAGTAAGTGGGTTGTTGCTTTCTGACGCTTTGGATGTACCAGGTGCTTCAAATTGGTCGGCTTTCAAGGGTTACTGCGAATCTGATAGCTCTTTTTTCGAGAAAATAACAGTGGTACAAACCGCATTCCCCTGTATGTTGCCGTTTTCGGGATACAGGGCGTTCCTCGATTTTTGGCTAAACCGTTTGGTGCCCTTTTTTCGTTTCCCTTTCAAGATATCACTTTTTTAAGGTACATTCGATGGCATAAAAATAAATGTGATAATATTTTTAGTTTTTGTGATATGACCACAACCTGTGGTTTTTTAACTGGGACACCCTGTATTTTATTACAAAAACGGAAAGAGGGCTAAAAACGCATTCCAAAAATATATACTTTACTTATTATTTTTTGTGTAGATTTGCGGAAAATATAAAATTTTCAAACAACCAACGATATTTAAGTTTTTTGACTGAGAAGGCTTTGAAAACAAACAAGATTGACGTTTAACCTTATTAGAAGCGCGTTGACATACATCAAAATTGGTTCTTTACTCAAATGAAGACAGATATAATTTAATAAAACATTTTAATCTAAGAAATGAAAATGCAGATTTGGCAAGTGACCTCTATTTTCAATTGTAGGTATTTATAATTTGAATGTAGTAAAATTAACCTAGTACGTTTGACATGCATTTACTAAATTTTAAGGTATCCAGAGATAGGCCAGGAAAAAGAGCTGGGAAATTACCATTTCGCGACTTTTTGTTTCGGTAAGCTGAATTTATCACTATAGGTGCTAAATATTATGTACAATAACATATTAGTTTCCACAGTCATAAAAAATGGGGGAAGAATGTTTACAGAGTGGTTAATTTTATCATTTTTACGTAAATTCAAGTTTTTCGCTTATAACTTTTTTCCGTTCATTTCAACGAGAAAACAGTAAGGTACTTTTTTTTCGTCTTCAAAAGACTTACAAAACTAGCCCTCGAGCATCAAAAAATATTGATTAGATCAAAAGTTATAAACAGAAGAAGTTTATTTATGACTTTTGAATTAAACATTTATAAACTGCGTTATTATTACCAGAACGTTTTGGCATCGCATCCTCTCATGCCTCATCACTGTCTAAAAACTAACACGAAATCTGGAATCGGTAAGTTGAATAGTTTACAAGTTATGGGCCTTATAAACAAATTAACTAATTATTAGTCTGGACGATCCCGAGCATCTTCCACAATCGCACTGATTTTTTTCATGGTAGATTTCATAGTAATACATTGAAATCTATCATTTTTTTTAAATTTCAAATTTGCAACCTGGAATTTTTTTTTATTTTTTAGTCTTAGTTGCAAAATTAAATATACGGCGCACGAGCGTGATTATAGTTATTATTACATATTCGGAAAGGTTATGAATAGAGTTTAATTTAAAAAAAAATCGTCAAGATTCGTTGAAAAACAACGGAGTTACAGACTGTCAAAGTTGACTGCCTATTGTTAAACAAATTAGGTTGTTAGCGGAAAAAAAATACTGTCATAACCGGCAACCCGAGTACTTTCCCAGAAAAAAATATTTTATTTGTGGAAGTATGTTAACTGCATAAGAAATATGGTTAAAAGTCAGAGGGTCACTTGATTTTTCGGCGAGTCGTGACAGCGAGTGCGAAGAAAATGATAATATTCGTAGTCCTGCCGTTAAAAAAGGGAAATTTGCTGGAAAATAGTATATTTGACAGTCTGTAATATTTAGATTTCAATGTATTATTATGAAATGTACTATGAAAAAAATCAGTGCGATTGTGGAAGATGCTCGGGATCGTCCAGACTATAATTAGTTAATTTGTTTATAAGGCCATAACTTGTAAACTATTCAACTTACCGATTCCAGATTTCGTGTGAGTTATTAGACAGTGATAAGAAATGAGAGGGTGCGATGCTAGAACGATCTGGTAATAATAACACAGTTAATAAATGTTTAATTCAAAAGTCATAAATAAACTTCTTCTGTTTATAACTTTTGATCTAATCAATATTTTTTGACGCTCGAGAGCGTTTTGTAGGCCTTTTGAAGTCAAAAAAAGTACTTTACTGTTTTCTCGTGGAAATGAACGGAAAAAAGCGAAAAACGTAAATTTACGTAAAAATTATACAATTAACCAGCCTGTAAACAATCTTCCCCCCATTTTTATGACTGTGGAAACTAATATGTTATTATACACAATATTTAGCATCTATAGTGATAAATTCAGCTTGCCGAAACAAAAAGTAGCGTCCAACTCTAAATTTCGTGGTCTAGAGAAGCCACAAATCGCTTGAGAATTTTCGCAAAAATTAAAATTGAACTTGAACACTTATGAATCTTACACTAAACTAAGGAACAAAATTTACAATAGAGCTAACCGAGAAGAGCAGGAAAATGATGTTCTACAGTGTGTTAGACAAAGTCCTAATACATCATCTAGACAATTAGAATTAAATAGTGGTGTTAAACGAAATACTACGTGCACTTTCATTTCTTTGATTAAAACCTTCTGTTCAATTGTATTGTATTTGTCTTCATTTGAGTAAAGAAACATTATTGATTTGTTCTAATAATTTTAAACGTCAAATTTGTTTCTTTTGAAAGCCTTCTCAGTCAGAAAACTTAAATATCGTCGGTATTTTGAAAATTTTATATTTCTTGCAAATCTACAAAATAAATAATAAGTAAAGTGTATATTTTTGGAATGCATTTTTAGCCCTCTTTTCACTTTTTAAAGAAAATACAGTGTGTTCCATTTAAACATACACAAATTGTGGTCATATCACAAAAACTAAAAATATTATCACGTTTATTTTTATATTATCGAATGTATCCCAAAAAAGTGCTAGTAGAATGTTCAAACCGTTTTAATATATCTTGAAAGGGAAACGAGAAGAGTGCGCCAGTCGGTTTAGCCAAAAATCTAGAAACACCCTGTAGTTCGAAAACGGTAACAAATAGAAAGAGATGCGGTTTGCGCCGTTGTTATTTTCTCGAAAAAAGAACTCTAGATTCGTCGATCAGATTTGCTCTATCTATTCGCAGTAACCGACTAGTTTCAATCACCCGATACAACGCCCGCCACTGCATTCCTGCATGATATTTAGCGGGACAATAAGACCTTTTGCATACTAATATTACTTATATTTACACCAGCAACAACACTACAGGGTGTTTGTAAATAAGTGTGAAATATTTTAAGGGGTGGTTGTCAAAGTTATTTTGTGAAAACAAGTTCATTTAAACGTAGGTCGAAATATGCTTCGTTTGCGAGATACAGAGTATTTAAATTTTAATTTTTTATTTATTTTTATTAATTATTTCAGAGTTTTAAAGATATCGAAATTTGATAAACGCTTTGAAGGGATAAATCTGCATTTTTTGGGGTAATCCGAATATTTCTACTTGCACCAGTGGCGTTTGTACGAAGTTGGCACAACTTTTTTAATAAAAAAAAATGTTACGCCACTGTCTTTTTCCCGTTTTGATATTTTTTTAGAAATCCGCCATCAATTCCGAATGAAATTGGTCCCTTCATTTTTTTTGTATTATGCGCCGTTTTTGAGGTCTGTTTTAATAAAGCGTTATTATGTTCAAAGTAAAAATGCTATTCAACATTGAAAATAAAAAGTTGATATGAATGTGGGTAAAAAATTCTTCGATTTCGAGATACAGAATGTTCAAAACTCTTTGAAGTAATTAATAAAAATAAATAAAAAAATTAAAAAAACACTTTGTATCTCGAAAATGAAGCACATGCAATAATAATAATACCTCACGTTAATAGTCATTTATGCTATAATATTCCTATATGATCCGAATTAAGCACATTATTTTAATTATATTGTCTGCAGTTATTTAATTGTGGCACCTGTGATAAAATTTTAAAAAATTAGTAAAATGAACATTTGCGCCAAATGGATCAATCAAGGGTTATTTTTATAAAAATAGTTTTGTCTAAACCAAAAAATCTCACACTGACAAATAGCAGACAAATATAAAATACAGTTCAAAGACACATCAATTTGTATGGCGCACTTTAACAAGTTGTTGACGTTAAAAGTTTTTGACAATGTCTAAAATAGTTCTGAAGACGAAAAGGGATAGATTTGGAAACGTTACAGTCACAGTCACATAATGTTTCACCAATTGCTTGGCCACCGCGTTCTCCTGATCTTAATCCATGCGATTTTTACCTTTGGAAAACATCGATTTTTATATAGGGTTGCAACTTTTTAATTGTTAAATGAGCAAAAATGTACAGAATTTTATCCCGATCACGGATTCGTTTTTAAATTTAGAAAATTCCGAACAGTTTCGAAAATATTCGAAGGAAATCGGTTTTGTACTGTTTCTTTTTTTAGTCGTATTTCACTTGATTTTCAAAATTTGATTGCAAAAATGTGTAGTCTGATATACAATGATGTGAGGAAACGATTTTTGCTGTCAGTATTAAAATACCTCTAAACACGTGCGTTGAACGGTAGCTAACTTTTGTTTTTGTTTTGGATGCCATATTGACTTTTTGCCTCATTAGAAGAAAAGGAAAATTCTCTTTATAAAAATGTATAATTTATGGGCTTCACATAAATAAATAACCAATACATTGAATAGATATTACAATTTTAATAAAAAAAGTGAAGTAGCCATGTAAAAAATTTGAATTTTTTCTATAAATTAATTCAATATTTCTTAATTTTAATACTTTTTAACACAGCAACCTTTATTTACATAACAATAACAAGAGCAACGAAGAAAACAACACAAAGCACAACAAAAGTATATGGTAAATTTAAATTTTATCACAAATGTTCGAAGTGCGTACCATTACTTGGTGGTCCAATTACTTGGCCGCCGGGAAATCCTGATCTCACCACCATGGACTTTTTTTTTTGGATATGCTAAGGATCAGCTATACACAAAGCGATATGATTGTGAGGAAGAATTGAGAATAAATATTTTAACAGTGATAAATTCAATAGGCACTTTCGGGCATG